TAGATTCCGAGTCCCGTAAGCAGTGGGAACTGCAAAGTAGTAAAAATTGTAATTTATTACCAACATATAAAGAATTTATAGAATTTTTAGAAATCCGTTCATGTTCATTAGAATTTATTGATCCTAAGTTAGCTAAACAAAATAGTCAACAATATAGAACTAATGTTACTCCGAAAGCGTTTCATATTTCAAATTTAAAATGTATTTATTGTTCTGATGATCATCATTTGCGAAATTGTAAAAGTTTTTCAAGAGAAATGACTGATACTCGACGAAATTTTGTCCAATCACAAAATCTTTGTTTTAATTGTCTTGGTGCAGGTCACAATGTATATTCGTGTCGCCAGTCTTCCAGGTGTCGTATTTGCAAGAAGAAACATCATTCCTTATTACATCCCAAAAATGTATCGCTCCCGTCGGGGCCTCAAATGAGTGAGGCAGAACCAGATGCTAAGGAAGCAACAGCATCTACATCAACGCAGGTAAAAAATATTAATAATATCAGAGCCTGCTTTTCGCGTTTCAGTGGACAAGTTTTACTTGCCACCGCATTAGTAAATGCCAGATCACACACAGGCTCATTGATCACGTTAAGATGTCTCATTGATCAAGGATCGCAGGCTTCATTTTTGACTGAAGCCGCTGTTCAACTTCTTGGGCTAAGAAAGATTCCACACAAAAGCTCCATTATTGGTTTGGGTAGTGACCACTCAAGTTCTGTTGCCTCTAAAGCGAGGGTAGAAATTGAGATTAAATCACGCCATTGCAACTTTAAAATTTGCGTCCAAGCTTTTGTGCTCAATAAGCTCACCACAGTACTTCCGGAAAGGAATGCTGTTGTTAATCTTAATCCTGAAGTTTCTAAATTAGTTTTAGCAGATCCTTTCTTTGCAACACCAAATAAAATTGACATGCTCCTTGGAGCAGATGTTTATGGTCAGATTTTGCTTGAAGGTCTGATCAAGAATTCACCCAGTGCATTAATCGCACAAAATACACAGCTGGGTTGGATTCTATCGGGTCCAATTCAGTCCAGATCGAGCTCCAGCACTATTTGGTGCAATCATATTCATCAAAATGATGAATACGAACTTATGAAGAAGTTTTGGGAGCTTGAATCGGATCAATTCGCCTCTGATAAATCACTTCTTACAGAGGAGGAAATTAAATGTGAGAGTATATACACATCAACTACTAGGAGAGATAGTTCAGGACGCTATATAGTACATTTACCATTTCGAACCGATGATCCAAATTGCAAATATGGTAATTCAAAGGCTATTGCAATAAAACAATTTAATCGGCTTGAGAATAGTTTATTAAAAAATCCCAAGCTTAAGGCTGAGTATGCTGCTGTCATAAAAGAATATAAAAATTTAGGTCACGTGGAAACTGTGCCATCTCATGAAGAAGATTCGGCTGATGCTGTATACTTACCTCACCATGCAGTGATCCGAGAGGATAAGGATACTACCAAGGTCCGAGTTGTCTTCAACGCTTCTTGTCCAGGAACCAATGGCATCACATTGAATGACGAACTTATGGTAGGCCCATCACTACAACCTGACTTACGTCACATTATAATGCGTTGGCGTCAATATCCAATTTGTCTTGTCGCTGACATTATAAAAATGTACAGACAGGTGAAAATATCTGAATTACATACAAATTTTCAACGTTTTGTGTGGCGCGAAGATCCAGATCAAAGACTGCAGCATCTGCGCCTCTTAAGAGTTACCTTTGGTACGGCTTCAGCACCTTATCTCGCTGTGAAATCATTACAGCAAGTTGCACACGACGATGGCACGAAGTATCCGCTGGCTGCTGAAAGGGTACTTCGTGAATTTTACATGGACGATTTTATGTCGGGTTGCTTTTCTGTGGAAGAAGGTAAGCAAATTTATAAGGAAATAACTCAACTTCTACAAGGAGGTGGATTTGTCTTGCAAAAATGGAGCAGTAATAGCGAAGAAATACTTAAAGAAATTAATGAAGATGTTGAAGATCAAGCAGAAAACCTGAAACTAAAAATAGATGAAATCATGAAAATTTTAGGACTTACCTGGAACAGAAGAACCGATGAATTTGAATACGTAGTAAAGCTTCCACAGCTCTCTCCTCCTGTAACAAAAAAAAGGTTATTTCAGAAATTTCTCGATTATTTGATCCTGTTGGTTGGCTTGCGCCAGTAATAATTACAGCCAAAGTCTTTATACAGAAATTATGGCTCTCGGGAATTGAGTGGGATGATGAACTTCCTCCACAATTACTGAAGGACTGGCTCAAGTATAGAAGTGAATTAGATTCACTTACCAAATTTAGTATCCCACGCTGGATCAACATCAATAATGATGATAAAGTTCGCGAATTGCATGGCTTCTGCGATGCTTCAAATGTTGCATTTGCGGCAGTTGTGTACTTGCGAGTGGTTAACTCCAATGGCGAAGTTAATGTTGCATTAATTGCTTCCAAAACAAAGGTAGCGCCCATTAAACAAGTTTCGATTCCGAGATTGGAGCTTTGTGGAGCTGTACTACTCACAAGACTGCTACTTGAAGTGTCTCAAGCCATGGGTATGGAGAAATGTTCTATTCATGCGTGGACCGACTCACAAATTGTGCTCGCTTGGCTTCAAGGACAACCTAGTCGTTGGAAAACCTTTGTCGCCAACCGTGTGTCGGAGATTATTACTTCGCTGGAACCGCAGCAATGGCAACACGTATCTACCAAGGATAATCCTGCAGATTGTGCATCGCGCGGCAGTACGCAATGGGATGTTCAACTCTGGAAGGAAGGGCCGAAGTGGCTGCAAGAAAAGGATATAAATTTTGCAAGAGGTCAAATAGAAGATACAGATCTAGAAGAAAGAAAAATGAAAATTTGTTTAATTAATACTCACAGTGATGAAGCAGATCCCGAAGAAGAAATATACTCACGGTTTTCATCTTTGAGAAGACTGCTCCGCGTTACTGCACTCTGTAAAAGACTAATTAAAAGAATGAGAAAAAGGGAAGTAGAGGATCAGAAGGATTGGATAACAAGTTTTGAAATTAGAGAAAGTTTAAAAATATGTGTTAAAAGATGCCAAGAAAAACATTTCGGTGAAGAGCTTGCAGATTTAAGAAATAAAAAAGAAATAAATAAGAAAAGTAAGCTTACCTCACTCAATCCAACAGTTGACGAAGACGGTATCCTACGAGTAGGTGGCAGACTGCAGCAGGCAATCCTTAGTGATGAGAGAAAACATCCTATCATTCTTCCTCGCAAATCACAGTTTACAACTTTGATTATTGCGGATGCTCATGAGAGAACATTTCACGGCGGTCCCCAATTGATGCAAAATTATTTGCAATCAAAATACTGGATAATAGGTGCGAAGGATTTAGTACGACTGTGTGTTCGTAAATGCGTCCGTTGTGTACGATATGCCGCTCGTATAAGACACCAGTTGATGGGACAACTACCGGTTGAAAGATCTACTGCTTGTCGACCTTTCTTAAAGAGTGGAGTAGACTATGCAGGGCCTATTAATATAAGAACCTCTAAAGGCAGAGGTAATCGGTCATTCAAAGGATATATTTGTTTATTCATTTGTATGGCCACACGTGCTATCCATCTCGAAGCAGTAAGTGACCTTACAGCTCAGGGATTTCTAGCAGCGTTTAAGCGTTTTATAGCACGCCGTGGTCATTGCGCTGAAGTATGGAGCGACAATGGGACAAATTTTGTGGGTGCAGCACGAGAACTCAAATCTTTATATGCTCATGAGAGGTCCAGTATAGGGAAGGAAATTGCAGATCAACTGGCTACAAATGGGACTGAATGGCATTTTATCCCTCCCCATTCCCCAAATTTTGGAGGACTATGGGAGGCAGGGGTAAAATCGACGAAACATCATTTAAGGCGCATTTTTGGCAATTCAACTTTGACATTTGAAGAAATGACAACATTACTTTGTCAAATAGAATCTTGTCTGAATTCTCGGCCTATTTCTAAAATTACTGAGAATCCAGACAATCCAATCCCACTGACACCAGGGCACTTTTTGGTGGGAGAACCTCTGGTTTTACCCCCTGATGTCAATTACGAAACATCTAATATCACAAATCTCAGACGGTGGCAAATGACTCAAAAAATGACACAAGATTTTTGGCGTCGTTGGTCAAATGAATATTTGACTCAGTTTTACCATCGTTATAAATGGAATAATATTGTTCCTGAACCTACAATTGGAGATTTAGTGTTAGTAGTGGAGGATGATCTTCCACCTGGAAGATGGTTATATGGTATTATAGTTGAAAAACATCCCGGATTGGACGGAATTACGCGAGTTGTCAGTCTAAAATGTAAAAACAATGTAATTAAACGACCTGTTTCTAAATTGTGTTTTTTGCCAATTACCAACTAATGTTGATTTTTTTGTTGGCTCTCGAGCCTCATATGTTCGTTTTAGCACGTATTAGTAAGAAAGCATGCAATGTGGTAATATTTTATCTTGTATTTTTTTTTGTGTTTGATGTTAAATTCTCGTAAAGATTTTCGTTAGTATTCATGTTTTGATCGGTTAGTTGTCTTAAGGAAAATTTTTGAAAATTTGTCCTTGGTGGGCTGTATGTTTACGACCTACCGTCACTTTATTTTATATTTTTGTTCACGCGATTTGTAATATGCATTGTCATTGTGTCATCTTAGCGTTCTGAGTATTGATCACATCTAACATAAAAATTTGTGTTGTAATTAATATAAACCTGTGCTAAAGAAAGTAATGTGTACTTAAATTGCTCATTGTTAACATTCAAGTTGAAGGAAATAAACCGAAAGTTCATATGTATGCAGTTTTATCATTTCACAATTTCAATTGGTGTTAACAAAAAAAAACGTAGATGAAAGCCATCAGCGATACATAAAGAGGGAGTTTTATTCACATGGTGGCGAGGGCCGCAAGATACTAGACCAACGAAGCAGTCAAACGATACAGGGGTATGTACTTTCGTTTGCAGGTTCGTGTGTGATGCACATAGTGACTGGCGCGAACATGGGCGGCAAGTCGACGTGGATGCGCTCTTGCGGCGCGGCGGCTGTGTTGGCGCACGCGGGCTGCGCGGTGCCGGCGCGACTCGCAGTCCTGCCGCGTCTGCGAGCCGTGCGCGCGCGCCTCGGTGCCGCCGACCGCGAGCAGCAAGGACAGAGCACCTTCATGCTGGAGATGCTCGAGACCGCGGCTATACTGCGGGTGAGTGGGCTCGTACACTGTGCCACAGGGTACTTACAGTATAGAGGCCGCGCCTGCGGGCCGTGCGCGCGCGCCTCGGTGCCGTTGACAGCGAGCAGCAAGGACAGAGCACCTTCATGCTGGAGATGCTTGAGACCGCGGCTATACTGCGGGTGAGTGGGCTCGTACACTGTGCCACAGGGTACTTACAGTGTAGAGGCCGCGCCTGCGGGCCGTGCGCGCGCGCCTCGGTGCCGCCGACCGCGAGCAGCAAGGACAGAGCACCTTCATGCTGGAGATGCTTGAGACCGCGGCTATACTGCGGGTGAGTGGGCTCGTACACTGTGCCACAGGGTACTTAGAGTGTAGAGGCCGCGCCTGCGGGCCGTGCGCGCGCGCCTCGGTGCCGTTGACAGCGAGCAGCAAGGACAGAGCACCTTCATGCTGGAGATGCTTGAGACCGCGGCTATACTGCGGGTGAGTGGGCTCGTACACTGTGCCACAGGGTACTTACAGTATAGAGGCCGCGCCTGCGGGCCGTGCGCGCGCGCCTCGGTGCCGCCGACCGCGAGCAGCAAGGACAGAGCACCTTCATGCTGGAGATGCTCGAGACCGCGGCTATACTGCGGGTGAGTGGGCTCGTACACTGTGCCACAGGGTACTTACAGTGTAGAGGCCGCGCCTGCGGGAAATGCGCGCGCGCCTCGGTGCCGCCGACCGCGAGCAGCAAGGACAGAGCACCTTCATGCTGGAGATGCTTGAGACCGCGGCTATACTGCGGGTGAGTGGGCTCGTACACTGTGCCACAGGGTACTTAGAGTGTAGAGGCCGCGCCTGCGGATCGTGCGCGCGCGCCTCGGTGCCGTTGACAGCGAGCAGCAAGGACAGAGCACCTTCATGCTGGAGATGCTTGAGACCGCGGCTATACTGCGGGTGAGTGGGCTCGTACACTGTGCCACAAAGTACTTAGAGTGTAGAGGCCGCGCCTGCGGGCCGTGCGCGCGCGCCTCGGTGCCGTTGACAGCGAGCAGCAAGGACAGAGCACCTTCATGCTGGAGATGCTTGAGACCGCGGCTATACTGCGGGTGAGTGGGCTCGTACACTGTGCCACAGGGTACTTACAGTGTAGAGGCCGCGCCTTCGGGCCGTGCGCGCGCGCCTCGGTGCCGCCGACCGCGAGCAGCAAGGACAGACCACCTTCATGCTGGAGATGCTCGAGACCGCGGCTATACTGCGGGTGAGTGGGCTTGTACACTGTGCCACAGGGTACTTACAGTGTAGAGGCTGCGCTTGCGGACTGTGCGCGTGCACCTCGGCGCCGCCGACCGCGAGCAGTAAGGACAAAGCACCTTCATAAATTTTGCAGCAACCATCATTGGTCATAATGCTACAACTTTATTAATTTTTTAGAGACGGGCTCCTTACAAAATTATTTATATTGTCTTACACCACGAAATTTCCGCTAACAAATTTATTTTAAATAATCTAAGTACAATAGTTACAACATACATAGATGTAATGTAGATAAAATTACAACATTGCTGCAGTAAACTAAAGCATTGATTATCTCTATGTTACTTTATTGCTCTATAACATATTATTATACGGCATACGTATGCCGTATATACGTAATGTCAATCTTCTAGCGAGAAAGTGTGTGCGATCTTTAAGTGCAATTATACGGAGGGCGTTAGAGTTCTGCCCACACACCCAAAGGCTTTAGCGCGGGGACAAGCCTTAAGTAGCACAATCTGTATGACGGGTGTCGCTTATCGCCGCGAGCAGTTTTGTAGTACGTAGCTCACAGATGTTGTCAAGCGCGAAACCGGTCAGGTGAGGCTGGCCGCAATTTGTAATAAGTTTAGGCACCCTGCTTTTTAGGGTTCCGTAGTCAACTAGGAACCCTTATAGTTTCGCCATGTCTGTCTGTCCGTCTGTCCGTCCTCGCTTAATCTCTGTGACCGTTAGCACTAGAAAGCTGAAATTTGGTACAAATATGTGTATCAATCACGCCGACAAAGTGGTAAAATAAAAATTGGAAAAAAATGTTTTATTAGGGTAGCCCCCCCCATAGGTTTAGTAGGGTAAAGTGGGAAGTGATTTTTTTTTTTTAATTTCAACCCTAACGTGTGATATATTGTTGGAAAGGTATTTAAAAATGAGTAAGGGTTTACTATAATAATTTTTTGATAATGTCAATAATTTCGGAAATAATCGCTCCAAAAGTAAAAAATAATGTGCCCCCCCCCCCCTCTAACTTTTGAACCATAAGTTTAGAAAATATGTAAAAAATCTGAAAAGTAGAACTTTATAAGGACTTTCTAGGAAAATCATTTTGAACTTAGATGGAAACAACAGTACCCCCTACCGGGAGCAGTTGCAGGAGCGTGGAGCGTTGCTGGAGCGCGAACATAATGAATACCCAGTTTTAAACTCATAAGTGGAAACACTTATTGTGACGGACGGGAAACTACGGAACCCTACACTGAGCGTGGCCCGACACGCTCTTGGCCGGTTTTTTTTATCAAATGTCACCGAACAGACAACATATACAAATAATAATTTTCTTATAACACACTAGCTGTTCCCCAAGACTTCGCTCGTGTATAATTTAGGGTTTTCATTTTTTTTTTTGCATGAAACCCTAATTATTTTTCTAAAATAAAACTAACCTAAGTTACTCCTTATAACATCAGCTATCTGCTAGACGGATAAAAACTTTAAAATAGTGGTTTGTTATAATTACTGTATATATTTTCATAAGCATTTAGTAAAAAGCTGTCATTCTGACGTTAGAAACAGGCACTTCTATTTTTTTTTATTTGTATTATTTCTTGTTGTGTTAACATACAAATATGTATCGCATGTGTACAATAAAACGGTATGATTTCAAAATACATAATATATAGGGTTATTTTGCAACTACAAGCCAAATTTGCAGAGTAGGTTCAGAATAAGTAATATAGGCAAATGGTGAAGAAATTTAATATAAAAAATCTCTCAACTTAACTTACTGGGTCTCCATTTAGGTAAAAAAACTGTTGTGTTAGGAGACTCCACTCATCCATAACACTTACATTACTATTTGCATGATCTTTACATAATAATTAACTATAAAAGTTAAAATTAAAACTAATAATATTCACGCCAAAGGTATAAATAAAAAATCGCGCGCGCGCGTTTGTATGGAATACAATATACTAAGATAGATTGAGCCAAAGCAATATACAGGTGATTTGAAGGTCGATGCAAAGCCGTAAAGCGGAGCTAGTATGGACTATTTAGAACCATTTGAACCCAACATGTCTTGACGAAGTGCGACTATTTTATTTTTATCAAGCTTTAATGATTTTTGATGACAAAACCCAAAATTTTGAAGTTAGTTGTAAATTGTGGCCAGTTTGAAAGACAAATCGTTTACTTTTTATTTTATTTTATTAAAGTAATGTATAAGCAATGTAACATGATTCAGGCATCTGTGTCATGAGATAAGTTTTTACAGATATTTAAAGTCAATGATTTATTTAAAGATTGAGAAAAGCTATTATTTGAGGGCATTAAAAAATACGGATGGTGTTGTTTTCGTTCAAACATTTTTAAAAACATGCCTGGTTATTGTTCTTTCTTTTGACGCATCAACTACGCAGATATCTCACAAATGATTGAAATTGGGGCTTATAAACCAAATTGAGGGAGAAAATTAAAAAAGTCAAGCAAGGCGATAAAACGACATTAGTGCTTTAAAAAATACTTTTAATATTGGAAATGATTACATAACAGAGTTCAATTCTAAGTATTAATTGGCACGATCGAAATAAAATTGAGGGGACTCTTCTAACAAAGGGCAACGCGTAGCGCGTGTGATGAGATAGCAATAAACTTACCTTCTCAGGTAGCGAGCCTAGTAATAAAAAAATGGCGATGCGTAAATTACATTTCACAATAAAAACAACTTTATGGGTAAGACAATAGCGTCGTGTTTCTTTCGTCTGGGTAACTACCTGTTTCTTTAAGGGGCGCTAGTGTATACTTAGTGGAGTTACAACTACGTTTGTGACAGGACGTTATTTCCTTATTCGTGACAAATTACCGTGTTCAGTTGTAGTAGCCCTTTGCGCTCCTGCACGTGTTAATTTAGTTTGAATTGTTTCACCGTATCCAGTTGTAGCCTTGGTTATCTAGCTCTGCGCTCCTGCACGTGTTAATTTAGTTTGAATTGTTTCACCGTATCCAGTTGTAGCCTTGGTTATCTAGCTCTGCGCTCCTGCACGTGTTAATTTAGTTTGAATTGTTTCACCGTATCCAGTTGTAGCCTTGGTTATCTAGCTCTGCGCTCCTGCACGTGTTAATTTAGTTTGAATTGTTTCACCGTATCCAGTTGTAGCCTTGGTTATCTAGCTCTGCGCTCCTGCACGTGTTAATTTAGTTTGAATTGTTTCACCGTATCCAGTTGTAGCCTTGGTTATCTAGCTCTGCGCTCCTGCACGTGTTAATTTAGTTTGAATTGTTTCACCGTATCCAGTTGTAGCCTTGGTTATCTAGCTCTGCGCTCCTGCACGTGTTAATTTAGTTTGAATTGTTTCACCGTATCCAGTTGTAGCCTTGGTTATCTAGCTCTGCGCTCCTGCACGTGTTAATTTAGTTTGAATTGTTTCACCGTATCCAGTTGTAGCCTTGGTTATCTAGCTCTGCGCTCCTGCACGTGTTAATTTAGTTTGAATTGTTTCACCGTATCCAGTTGTAGCCTTGGTTATCTAGCTCTGCGCTCCTGCACGTGTTAATTTAGTTTGAATTGTTTCACCGTATCCAGTTGTAGCCTTGGTTATCTAGCTCTGCGCTCCTGCACGTGTTAATTTAGTTTGAATTGTTTCACCGTATCCAGTTGTAGCCTTGGTTATCTAGCTCTGCGCTCCTGCACGTGTTAATTTAGTTTGAATTGTTTCACCGTATCCAGTTGTAGCCTTGGTTATCTAGCTCTGCGCTCCTGCACGTGTTCGTTTTGACTGTAATTTTAATTCGCTTGTAGGCTGTTTTGTATTTGAGAAGTGACTATGACTTTTTTCTCGAACGAGGAATATTCTGACATTGTTTTTATGTATGGCAGAGCAGACGGCAATGGATCTTTAGCACGACGGATGTACCAAGAAAGCTATCCTAATCGCAGAGTACCAAATGTGAGAGAGAGAGACATGGAGTCAATCCGGGTAGACATGATACTCACATCGAGGAAGATATCTTGGCGGCATTTCAAGCTGATCCACATGCCAGCACTAGCAAATAGGTCGTAATTTAAATATTTCTTATTGGAAGGTGTGGAATACAATGCACCAGTACCCGTTTCATGGCACTGGTGTTCAAGGTCTTGAAAAGCGAGATCCTCAGAGAAGGATTCAGTTTTGTCGTTTTCTTCTCAACGCAGATATTGAAGATGCATGGTTCCTGAAATCAATCTTGTGGACAGATGACAGGGAAGGCATTACTAACTTCCATAACCTTCATCAATGGGCTGAGAAATCTAATAATCCACATTGGAAAAAGCGGAAATCTTTTCAAAGGAAATTCTCGGTCAACGTGTGGGATGGAGTAATTGGCGGAACATTGATTGAGCCCCATATCTTAACGGATAATTTGGATGGCAACAATTATTTGGAATTCCTACAAAATAATCTTCCAGAGCTTGTAGAATACACCGGGGCCCGATATTCGTTACAGACCGAGAAATCATCTTTTAACAAGTTGGTTGTCCAGCAGGATTGGACATTAAATGTACGAGAGCACTTAAATATTTGCTTCCCTACCAGCTGGATAGGCAGAGATGGGCCTGTCCCTTGGCCCGCCCAGTCATCCGACCTGACTCCGCTGGACTTTTTTGTGTGGGGTCGTGCCAAAGAACTAGTCTATACGAATGTGGAAATAAACATAAAAGAAGAATTAATTGAGAGAATTAATTCAGCGTTTGAAACGATGAAACTAGAGATGAAGTTAAAAATAATAACAACAGAAGTGAAAAGACGGGCCCGTGCTTGTGTTAGGAACCGCGGCGAAAGTTTTGAACCCGTTTATTTTACAAAATTTTGTTTTAATTATTTTGCCAATAAATTATAATTTTCACCCTCTATTTGGTTTGTAGGCCCTAATTTCATTCATTTGTGAGCTATCCGCGTAGTTGATCCCTCAAAAGAAAGAACAATAATCAGGCATGTTTTTAAAAATGTTTGAACGAAATCAACACCATCCGTATTTTTTAATGCCGTCAAATAACAGCTCGCCTCAATCTTTAAATAAATCATTGACTTCAAATATCTGTAAAAAAAACTTATTTCATGACACAGATGCCTGAATCATGTTACATTAGACTGTTTACATAATAACAAACAAAATAAACACAGGTACAGAGGGGTAGGCAAGACTCAGCACGATCTGACATACCTTTTGAATGTTATTTCTGTCTATTTGTTTGTACATACTTTAATAAAATAAAATAAAGTGTAAATGATTTGTCTTTCAAACTGGCCACAATTTAGAACTAACTCCAAAATTTTGGGTTTTGTCATCAAAAATCATTAAAGCTTGATAAAAAAAATAATAGTCTCACTAAGATAAGTTGGGTTCAAATGGTTCTGAATAGTCTATACTAGCTCCGCTTTATGGCTTGCATCGGCCTTCCAAACAACCTGTATATTTGGTATAGTAACATTTTATCCGATAATCGTCCTGTACTTAAGTACCCACAGAAATGTCGCATCTGAAAAATATATTTCGTAATCTATAATACTTTTTTTATCAATTAAGTATCTTATTCACCGATGAAAAGCTATTCCTTGATATTTGCTAACGTATCTTGAATTATTTGTACAATATCTAAAAACATACTATGGCATATTTTATCAAGAGTTTTTTTTTAATATTATAATCAACCAAAACGTGTCAACTCACTAGCGCCTAGCGAGTGACTGAGTAAAGTGTGGCGAAAGCGCCGCAATTGATTGTGACAGCGTAACCTCTAGTATAGTTGCCGACACGAGTCGTGAGCACAGATAAATTGTGATGGGAGGTAGGTACACTGTCGGGCAAAATTATTGGGTACCTTTATTATTTCAATTCGTAATTGAATATTTTCGGCGACTTTTATGAAAATGTTTACTCGAACACATCAACTTTTACTTTGATACAGTAATGTTGCAGATATTTGTGGCCGTTATTTTATTATCTACTATAAAGTATTTAATGTATACCTGGTGGTTAGAATTGATTATTTTATTAAGAGGAAGGAAGAGTAATATGCCTTCCATAAAATCTGGTGTTGCGGTGCGACATTAGTCGCCTCAGCAGTCTGTTTATATAAGTCTATGATGTTTTTCGCAGTACCTACCTAATTTTTTCATGTAACTAAACAGTAAATAGACCATTGTCGGGATTGTCTATTTAACACCGAATTCATCCTTCTTTGCATATTTAGACCAAAATCTGAACACTCAAATTATAACAACAAAAATAATTAAAAACAAGAAGTAACAAAAACAATTAATAACAAGGAATACACAAACAACAATTTACAACGAGGTAACAAAAACAATTAACGAAAATAAACTTATTAAAAAAGTTATTACTAAAATTATTGCTCTGAAGTGTACGGAAGCCGAATGATACGTTCGAAACCAATAGACGACGAGAATCGACTGATGAACCAATCACGTTGAACGTCAGCGTGGTCAACGTCGTATCGACCAATAAAAAGTGTGCTCACGACTTATGTCGGCAATTATACGTAGTACATAATAAAAGGATGCGTTTTTAAGTTCGCTGAATAGGTAGGTTGGTAATAAGTGGGGACGTCGTTGAATTACGTGCTAATTGAGCAACTCATTATTATAGAGCAAGAGACCACAATGGCCAGACTTCGTTATTTTATAAAAGCTCAAAGTTTTTCTATACATGTCCCCTATACAGGAACGACCAGCGAATATAGAGTTTAGGTTGTGGTTACTTGGGCAGGTAACAGGTAGTAAAGGTGTATAAAATAGTACCTTAAATTTGTTAAAGTATAAAGCTCAATTTTTTTATATTTTCATCGGGATAACTTTAGAAATCTCGTCATCCATGGCCGGACACAAATTATTTATCGTCGAGTTCCCGACATAAATCACATCTTCAATATTTTATATTTAATAATTAATTCTTCATATATCTTATACTTAAATTAAAAATATGCATACTCCTGAAGGGAGTGTAATATCTACCATATTCCCTTTTAATAATTAAACCTGTTTTTTTATCTTTAGATTTTTCTTATTTAAGTACATAATTTATTTTAGAGATCTCGAGATAGTATTATATTATAGTTTATTTTGTTTGTGTTTCAGGCTGCCACTCCTGACTCTCTGGTGTTAATTGATGAATTAGGACGGGGAACATCTACATACGAAGGTTGTGGCATCGCTTGGGCTATCGCTGAGTAAGCTTCTTTTATATGTGTTACATGTACATTCTGTGTTATTATAATTGAATTGTACTTATTAAAGTAATAATTTTAGGAGATATTGCGAAGAATTTACTTAGTTGACTATTCATAACACCCTAAATATAATAGGCTATTGTATCTAAAGTATGTTACACTTCTTTGCCTAAATAGCACTAATTTTTTAATAATAATAATTAAATTAAACACTAGATGGTGTGACAACCTGGTAAAGGATGCAAGTAGTTGATAGATACAGGTGGCTCAGGGCCGTACTTTGTGGCTTTTCATGGGGGGCCTATGTTCATGGACTTGTAAAGCGCTGTAATTAATGAGGAAGCAAATTTATATTACATGGGTGAACTGCAGAGTCGGAAAGGGACGCCCTAGACGAAGGTTTATCGACCAAATTGGTAATATATTGAAATTGCCAGATTATGAGTACCCTTAACCGATTAGCGTGTATGCGAGATATATGGTTGTGAAAGAGGCGAGAGAGGTGTGCCAATATATTACATTTAATGAATGAATAAAATTCATAGTATCCTTAGAAACAATTTTAAACATTCTGTTATTATTTATTAACAGGAAGTTGGCAACGGAGTCGAAATGCTTTTGCCTATTCGCGACGCACTATCATGAACTCACCCGCCTGCCCAGCCTGCATCCTGGGGTCATAGTGAATTCTCATGCAGAGGCGTCAGTGGTTAATGATCAATTGGTCCTTCTTCACAAAATCGTCCCGGGACCCGCTACTCACTCCCTGGGACTTCACGTGGCCAAATTGGCTGATTTACCTGAATCTATTATAAAGGTAAATACTAATAATGATATGTGCACAAGCCTCCACCTCCACTCGTTTCTGACAGGTTGTCAAAAATGAGTAAAAAGATATATGCAAATTACTGTAAGCTCGTTCAGTGCAATCCTTGGTAATAATCTAAGTAATTTAATTATTAAAATTGCTATTTATCCTATACCTTTAAACGAGCAATTCTTGCATATATATATTTAAATACTTATATATTAAATTACTTAGCTCTTAGAATCTCGGAAACGGCTCCAGCGATTTTCATAAAATTTAGTGTCCAGGGGGTTTCGGGGGCAATAAATCGATCTAGCTAGGATTCATTTTTAGAAAATGTCGTTTTGTCCGTGTTTTCGGGCAATGAAAAACTGCTACAATATAAGATTTTTTAAGTTCCCTTTTTTGTGAGAAAATCTATTATTTTGAGCCTTCTTTAAAGTATTTTTTTTAAATACGAAAATTTAAATTAAACTAATTGCACTCAGTGTTTTTTTTTTTCAAATTAACCAGTTCAGTTTTTTTTCTTATGGGGCGTGTGTTACGAGTGTTTCACGCCAGTAGTCGAATGGTGGATTCGAACCCACGACCTTTTTGAGTTCGCGGTATGCGTCCTGCCATTAGGCTACTGTCGCTTAAAAATCTAAATATAAATTCCAAAACACACGATTTTAAAAAAACCGAGCAGAGCTCGGTCATCCAGGTACTAACATTAATCTAGCCTAGCAATTTGTTTAATGTTTAGAAGCCGTGGTAACCCGAAGCAATTGAAGCAACAACCTGCATTCCACATTCCATTCCATTTGTTTATGGTACAAGCCTCCTCTCATTTTTAAGAGAGTTTTTGGAGCGTGGAAATTCGTCGCACAGTCCCAGTGCCTCTTGACAGTCTTCAGATGTTCTCTATTTTTTTTTAATAAATATAGGGTTTTCCACGACGAGCCGAATTAGAGCCATAGTGTGAACATAAAAATAAAAATATAAATTACTTTGCAACCTTCCGCTAACTATGTACAATGATGTGTCTTACCCGGATTGAAGAGCACCTCCCGCCCTCCCTCAATTGCATGCACTAACTCCGTCACCACTATTCCAGTTAAGACACACCATCGACGATAATACGACACGTGTTTCGCCTCTACACGAGGCATCCTCAGGTGATGTAGACTCTACGGCGGCTGACCGCTAAGTACTTAACCCCGTACACCCGTGAGGACTAAGATGGAAAGCCTCGTTTGCAGTAAATAGGGTCTCCGGTTCTGTACACTCACCACACGAAACACAGCAGCATTAAGCTACTATTTGACGCTGGTATTCTGTGTTACTTTATTATATTTCTTGACTTGACAAAACTAAAACCAATGACAAAATGTCTGATTCTATTATTTTATCAAAATCTATCACGTAAAATCTTATAACGTCTGAAATAACAACCATTGCATAAGCCCTTTATTCTATAAAAGAAATGGAATATACCGTACAGTATGAGCTAGATCTTATGCTCTAATTCTAGACTGATCTAGTGTAAAATATTGTGAAATAGAAGTTGCAAAATGAATAATTATCTGAGCGCAGGCGTGTATTTTAAATTTCATAATACATACAAATCTTCTTCTTCTTCTATCTAGCGTTTATCCCGGTTGCTCATCCCGCCCAGCGCGGGAGAACCCAGGGTCCGCTTTCCTACACTTCCTCCTCCACTTTCCCCAGTCTTCGGCGTCCCTCGCAACTAGCCCATTGGCGCGCATGTCATCCTGCACGACATCAAGCCAGCGTTTCTTGGGCCGTCCTCTACTCCAGGTAGGGTCATGTCCAGGCATTTGTTTCCCACGTAACTTGCCGGTCGTCGTAAGACGTGGCCGTACCAGCGGAGGCGACTTTCCTGGAGCTTGTCAGCAATGTCACGGACATGGAGGATGCCGCGGATGTATGTATCCGTACATGGTCTTTCCGCGTGACGCCACACATCCACCGCAGCATGTTCATCTCCGTGACATGTAACAACTGCCGGTGTCGCTCTAGCACCGGCCACGCTTCACTGCCGTACGTAAGGACAGGCCTTATGATGGTCTTATAGACCTGTCCCTTCAGCTTGACCGGCATTTTGGGGTCACAAATGACACCCGTCACCTCGCGCCATTTCGCCCAGGCTGCTGATATACGGGCCTTGATGTCGCGATCGATGTCCCCGGACGCATCAAGCACAGATCCGAGGTACCTGAAGTTGTCCGTGCGCTCGACGGTGTCGTCGCCTATACGGAGAGACGTCAGATCTGTGCTGTTGCAGGCCATATACTCCGTCTTCGCCACGTTTAGCTTCAGCCTGCCGTTCTCAAGCGCCTCCCTCCATGCGTGCACGCGTCTGGTGAGCCGTCCTTTGTCCCCATCTACCAGTGCGATATCATCAGCGTACATAAGCAGCTAGGGCTGCGGTAGTTTCTGTACGCTGGCTCACAGCTCGTCTAATATCACACTGAAGAGATAGGGGCTTATGAAGGAGCCCTGATGCACGCCTACGGTTATGGGGAAGGGGTGGTATCACCAACAGCGGTCCTGACTATTGAATCGGGGTTGCGGTACATGTCACGTACGATTTCCACGTAGGTCTTCCTGCTACGACAACTTCGGCCGCAACGCCCACTAGATCATTCCCTAGGAACACAGTCAAAGGCCTTCTGCAGGTCTAGGAATAAAAAATGCAGAGGCATATTCTTTTCAGGACAGTACAGGAGCTCGCCATTAGGGCCGTTGACGCTGCAGCAGCGAGTAATATCTTGCGCTGCTTTGGCCCTAGAGCGCGCCAGTTTATATATGAGCTTGTGCCCCTCAGGAGTGTCCAACTTAGCATATAATGGTTGCAAGTGGTCACGCCTTGCTATGGCTACAGCTTTCTTGGCAGCTCTTTTCGCTGTCTTCCCTACGATACTAAGATGCGCGATCTTCAGGAAATTTGGTCGCTTGTCACGTCTTGAAGAGCGCTTTCTTCTCCCGTAATGAACCCTGGACTGTGGCGTCCCACCACCAGGTCTCCTTGTCAATTTTGCGACCCCCTTTCGCCACGCCGAGGACTTGCTTTGCCGTCTTTGTGATTGCTGTCTGAATGGTTTTCCAGCACAATAACTGACGGACTTGCCTGCTGTGTCGAGACTAATATCCCCAGCGGCAGAGTCAAACTCTGAGTATCTGGTTCGATCCAGCAGCCACCACTTGATTTGACGGCGGCAACGTTCGGCGTGTCTACGACGGGGTTTTACGCAGAGGTCCATGACAAGATGTCGGTGTTGGGCAGTGAGACACTCACCGGGTATGACCTTACAGCTGGCCACGCGACTGATATGACTTCTCTTGGTCAGTAGATAGTCGATTTGAGTGGTGTTCCGACCGCTCTTGTAGGTAATCAGGTGCTCGGTTTTCTTTTTCAAGAACGTGTTCACGACGGCCAAGTCAGCTGCAGTGCAGGTTCTGAGAATGGTTTCCCCCCTCTGCGTTTCTTCGGCCGTAACCATAGCCGCCGTGACACGTTCATACTCCCCCCTGCACCTCGCCCACATGGCCGTTCAGGTCGTCACCCAAAACGACATCGTGGGACAACGGTATGCCGCGTAGTAAATCTCCGAGCCGATTCCAAAACAGCGTCTTATCCGCGTCGCTGCAGCCGACCTGTGGGGCGTAGGCACTTATTAAGTGGTATTTAAGTCATGACTTACTTAGTAAGTCACGACCCCCCTCAACAAGCAACCTTACTACCATAAGTCGGTCGTATATCCGTCTAACTTCCAAGACGCTATCGTGGAAATGCTCGGCGAGCACCACTGCCACACCGTTCTCCCCACCAGAAGAGCCTGTATAGATCAGCTTGTAGCCGTGTCCAATATTCCGGCTCCTGTTAGCCTTCCACCGTGTCTCCTGCAGGAACGCCACTGCCACTTTACGCCTGGCAAGTTGGCCGCAAGTTCTGTGGAGCGACCCGGAAGCGTGCCAATGTTCCAGTTTGCAAAGCGAATCTTCGTAGTTGGTGCTAACGTCTTTAGCCGGGCTCGCACGATGCCCGGTAGCCCTCGCATACTTGTCGCAGGGTTAAGGCGATCCCCATGCGCGTCGTTATGCGGCGACGCCCTAGTCCTAAACGTATATCTCTTTCTTTTACTTTCCATTTTTGAGTGGCTTAGTGCCAATTACCGGGGCGACTGCCGTCTGACCCCCGAACCCCTAGGACGAATCCCAGAGGAGTTGCATCGCCAGAGCCCTTTCCGTTGTTCAGCAGGTGCGCCACGTGCAGGCGGGGTTGGCTTGGGCTTCAAGATCTTAGCGGAGCCCCTTACACCTAAAATATCATATATCATAATACATACAAATGTGACGACTTAAAATATCCAACTAACTTTTTTTAATTTAAATTATTACTGCGAATTAGCGGGCTCGATGGACCCTTGTTATATGTATTATGTATCATATATATAATGACTGCCTCGTTGGTCTAGTAATTGTAGTAGTGCGACTGCTGATCATGAGGTCCTGGGTTCGAATCCCGGGTCGGGCCAAAAAATTATTGCGTTTTTCCGTCAAGAAATTCTCAATAGTTGACGGAGTCAAGAAGTTGGCGGTGTCTCACCCCCGTGCCTCGGAAAGCACGTAAAGCCGTTGGTCCTGCGCCTGATCTCTCTCCGGTCGTGGCGGTTTTAAAGTTGTCCAAAACGACTATAAATCAATAGCACGCTACAAACTATAAATTTCTAGCGCGCTATTAAATATGCTATGTTATAACGCGCTATTTATAAGAAAGCGTGTAGGAGACCGGCAAGCGCGTTAAGTTTTGCAGCACGCTATATCTCTTAGCACGTTACATTACAACATGTCGTTCATTAGATAGACCGAGTGCTATATAAGAACATTATTTCGTAATAAGTCGCATTTTAGACTGAAATAAAATAAAGTGGTAAAGAAAAACCAATTAGACTTTTTCATACTTTTCAGGCTTACGACTTTCTATAATCCTAAAAATATTTTTAAAGCATGTACTTTTGAAAACGAAATAAAATTAATTATTTTTTATTATAATTGATGTAAACGTTATTTTAACCCTAATATACATTATAAATCAAATAAAGGTGTATTTAAATACACCTTTATTTGATTTATAATTGTAAAAATTGTTGTGTGTATATGTTGAAAAAAAATTTATAAAAATTAACTATTTACATACACTATTATATACACTTTTTTATATAATAATATAATATATAATATAAACACTCACGCCTGTCACCCAGAGGGGTAGGCAGAGACTACAGACTTCCATTTAGCACGATCCTGACATACCTTTCTCGCCTCTTCCACATCCATATACCTACGCATACATGCTCGTCGGTTAAGGGTACTCTTAATTTGGCCCATTTTTAATATATTGCCAATTTGGTCGACAAACTTCCGCCTAGGACGTCCCTTTCCGACTCTTCCATTCACTTCTGCAACATATATTTGCTTTTTCAGTCTTTCCGCATTCATTCTTTCTACATGACCAAACCACCAAAGCATTCCTTTCTTAATCCTGGTCACCGCACCATCTTGCAAACCACACTCTTCTTTTATCACACAGTTTCTCACCCTGTCACTCAGATTCAGCCCTAACATACTCCTTAGCGACCGCATTTCTGCTGCATTTATTCTACTCTCGTGCTTCTTCTGCCGCACCGTTAAAGTAGGGACTAATACAGCACTGTGAATTGCCATACGTGCCTTTTTTTGACACATTCTGACTTTTCACAATAGAGTGTAGAGCCCCGTTTACTTTATTTCCTACATTCACTCGTCGTTCAATATCCTTATAATATCTCCCATCCCTGCTGAATACACATCCCAAATATACGAACTCATACACTTGCTCAATTAACTCTCCTTCTATTCTTATTTCACATACCGTTTTGCTTTCTTCTCTTTCAAAAACCTTCACTTTCGTCTTACTTGCGTTCACTTTCATTCCCCTTTCTTTTAATGACCTGTTCATTAATGTAACCATCATTTGCAACTCAACACTTTTTTATCTATATTTTATTTACATTTCAAGGATGTTAGGCTTCTTTTATAGCAGACAACCGTAGCCTTCGATCACTTATAAATATACAGACTACATACACAAACTAAACAACGTCTAACACTAAATTAGGTCGCGCGCGATGAATAGCGTGCTACTAGATAAAATTTGCATCACACGTCCTCTCCCAACAGCGCTGCTGCTAGAACTAGTTGCCGCTAAATATTAATTCTTAATAGCGCCAAAGTGCCATAGCGCAATAGCGCCATGGTGACTACGTACATAACACGCGCTATGTGTTATGGAGAAATAGCGCGCTATATGTCGCTATGCGCTATATTAACCCCCATAAGTCGGTTTACCGTCCCATCGGATTATGAGAGTAAGGGAATAGAGAGTGCACTTATGCTTGCGTATACACTTGGGCACTATAATCCTGTCCTGCGACGATGGCTAGTCTCCGTTGAGGCAGGCCGCCGTGGCCGAAATTCAGTCTGGAGGACATTATTATTATGTATCATATATTATTAAAAAAATCGTGCCTATCAATGTCTTTAACGGTTGAGTACCTACGTCATAAAAAAATATGCCCCCCCCCCCTCCTAATAAATAGTCGTTGTTATACCTCGTCAAAATTAAAAAATGGCTTTAAAATTTTACTGTGCTTCAGCAAATAGAGCTTGATATCCGCTAGCACTAACGAAATTGTTAGGTAATTGTAATTTTAAAATGCTAATTTATTGCGCTCGGCGTTGAAAGAAATAACGTATAGACAGTTAACACGCGTGAGGGAAGTGTGGCAAATTGTTACATGCTCCAAAATCGTCTCAGAAATGGAAGGAAGGCTGTGCTCTTATTTCGAAAGTTGTATGCTTGTACTTAATTAGTGCTTGGGGTATCTCATTTCTTAAAACATATCAGTTTTATTTACCTTACCACTTTGCGTTAGAGGAGGGCTTTATGAATGTGTATATCGGTCCAATAAAACCCTAAAACCATCCCAAATCTGCCTTAAGACAGCCTATAGATCAACCTGATAAAACTTTGTAGTCTCTGAAAAATGAAAAAAGAATTTCACCCATTAGTAGAATTAGAAACATGTATACAGTCAAGTGGTTTGATCAGCCGGTTAAATTAACGGAAAGGCCATAAGTTAAACGCTGGTATTCAGATTAATGTCTAAAAGATACTTAACTACATCAAATAACGTAATGTTTTAACATAAAAATTCATGCCAGGCATATAACTAACGGGCTAGTCTCTTAGTTAACGGCCTGATTGTGATATACATAAAACGGTTAACAAAATGGTGGGCAACATTATCAACAGGCTATCGTGGGCCCAACAGTGGTGTGATATTATGTGATGATAAAATGCTTTTATGTTCTCTAGTATGCTGAGGAGAAACAAGCTCAACTCGAAACAAATTTATTTGAAGTGGAAGCTTCTGTAGAAGCGCAAGAAACTACAGAAGGTCAAAAAATTATATTGGATTTCTTACGTAAATGCAAGCTGATACAAGAAACGATCGAGTCGGATGAAAATATGATGATTGAGATAAATAAATTGAAACAAGAGTTGCTGCAGCAGAACAGTAAATACGTGCAGTCACTTATGTCGTGTTGATTTTTTTTTAATAAAGTCCATTTTATTTTTATATGCTATTTTATTATTTGTTCATTTAGCAGGGACAAAAGTAAGTTGATTAACTAAAACAAACCTAGTTTTATTATGATGGTGATCCTTTATGATTTTCAATTAAAAAATTACCTTCAAAAGCATAGTTGTATTTTTTTATAGAAGGGGGCAAACGACCATGTGGCTCACCTGATGTTAAGTGACTACCGCCGCCCATGAACAACCGCAACACCAGGGGAATTGCAGGTGCGTTGCCGGCCCTTTAGAAAGGAGTAAGCTCTTTTATTGAAGGTCGCCAGTTCGTATCGGTCCGGAAAAATCGCCGGTGGTAAACTAGTCCACAGAAAGGTCGTACGCGGAAGAAAACTCCTTGTGAAACGTACAGTGGTGAACCGCCAAGCACCCAGATGGTGTGGTTGGTATCGGGACGTTTGCCGCGTACCTAGTGCTTTCACGAAATTTGGCGACTGGGATTAATCCGAACAGTAGTAAAGGTTTGAAAAAAATTAGTAACTGACTAAGAAGAAATGTTACTGGTAGCTGCATAGCGTTAAGTTTACTTAGTTCGAGCTAATTACGTTGTCTTGTTACTTTTTTCTATTCTAAGCCGGCGCTTAACAACAATCACATCTGATGGTAAGTGGTGATGAAGCCTAAGATAGTGAAGCGCACTGACTTAACAATCGTTACAAAAACATTGTAATCGGATAGAAAGACAGATGCTGGCCACTTATTCCACTCCTTTGCTCGTACAGCTGCTCCATATGATGAACGACGTAGCAGACCGCTTGGTTCGAATGCGTGGTAAGTTAACAACGAAAAAGTGGAGACTGGCCGAACGTCTGGTTGTCCGATTGTGGAAGGGGAGGGAGGAATGAAATTATGCAACTCCTGCGCACATTCCGAAATGCAAGGCTGGCTACTTTGAGCCTGTTTTCGAGGCTTATAAGATTGGTTTTAACCAAATTCGGGTCTCCAATAAGCCTCTTAGCACGCCTTACATTGAGTTCAATGCTGCTAGGTGGCATTTTGCAGCACCAGCCCATATATTGCAGAAATACTCCATCCACGACCGGACTTGTGCTTTATATAAAGTAAGCAGCTGTACCGGCATGAAGTATCGCCGCACCTTTGCAAGGACTCCTAGCTTCCTTGCAGCTGCTTTGGCCTTGGACTCAATGAACCGCCCGAAGTTCAGATTTGAGGACCTCAACCCCTGTCAACTGGAGGCGGTCGGTGTATTATTGTGTTTTGGAGGCGTTGAATTTCACAAGATTGGTATCACCCCATTCAGAGACTGCCTGGAGTGTGAGATTCACACGATCTACCATTAGCTTCTCTTTCGGACTGAATTTGATCCCGACTGGCCCGAGGATTTGGTTGGTAGTATCTCTCCACAACTATGCTGTCGTCTGCGTACCCGTAGATACCGGCTATAAGCAAATCATTAATATGCAGCAGGAAGAGGGTTCCGGAGAGATCGGACCTCTGAGGAACACCGGCGTTAGTCGCCACAGGATCGGAAGAGCTGCCATCGACGACGACCCGGAGGAGACTGTACACTCAAAAAGTTCTTTACCCAGTCAATCAGATCAGGGGATAAGCCGTACGCTGGAAGCTTATCCAAAAGGCTAGCGTGCCAAACTCTGTCAAAGGCCTTCCAGGTATCAAGGAAAACAGCAAGTGCTACTCCGCTTTTCTCGAGTGATTCGCTCCATACGGTTCCTGCTGGCCGATTTCGGCGAAACCCTTGCCGGTCACTAAGGAAGTCATTCTGTTCTAGGTCTGCCAGTAAGCAGGCGTTCAATACGCCCGCTTAATAGCATACGCTCCATAATCTTGCACAGTATGGAGGTAATTAAAATTGGTTGATAATTGGCAGGGTTGGCATGGCGGGCTTTTTGGAACAGGCTGCACTTTAGCCAGCTTCCAGGATTTTGGCACTATTCCAATCCTAAATGAGAGGCGGAACAAACGTGTCAACACAAGAGACAACTCAGGTGCACAAGCCTTTAAAACTATAGCTGGTATACCATCTGGTCCACTTTTTCAGCTTTTTTCACGTCTAGTATAGTCTTCTTATTTGTGATACGAACCTCTGACATAGTGGTGTAGGCCGACAGAAGTGTGTCTCGACCGCTTTGGCAAGAGACCAAAAAGTTCTAGTACCGGATGGTCTGGCAGAGGGTTTTGCGCCAATCTGTAATGCGATCGAGACTGGCTTTCCGTAATTTTTTTTGTTGGTCTTGGCAGACCTGGTTGAAAGATCTCTTGGAGCTGATATCCGGAGCCATGCGGTTGTGAGCGGCAGCCCAGGATAGGTACACTAAATGCTTGAGTTTTTCAGCCTGGGCGCATTCAGCTTGGGGTTCTGCGGGGGTAACGTTATGTTTTTCGCAAACCTTGCTGGATTTTTGCATCCTCATCCCAATCAGCTGATTTGTAACGCCATATTCGGCGAACACCTTGGGACTCGTAATCAGGTGGAGAATATGACGATAAAGATTTCACCAGACAGTGGTCGGATGTACCTAAAGGGGAGGTAACCTGTACTTCATACCTGTCTGGTTCGGTAGTCAGCAGAAGGTCCAAGTAATTGGCTGTGTGACCGTCTACATCGGGTACCCTAGTCGCTTCCTTTACCAGCTGAGAAAGATCTAGCGTCAAGGTAAAATTCCACGCTTCTCTTCCAGCATGGTCGGTCTTCTAGTATGGGAACAGCCAGTCTTGGTGACGCGTTATAGTCCCCCAGAAAGACCACTGTACTGTACAGTAGGATATCGATTTAGGGTCACATCAGCAGCCTCACTAAGGTGATCAAATAATCGTTGTGTCTGGTCATCACTGTGCGATCGGTAGACACAGGAATATTGGATTTTCTTAATTCCTGTTTTTTAACACCCAGATTGTCGAAAAGTGGGGTCTCAGGTGAGGAGTCGTGGTAGATGGCAGCGGACGTACACACAGACTCCGGCACGTAGATGGAATTTGTGCTCCAGGGAGAATTCAGGATAGTCAAGGTACGCCGCGTTCAATGGACATCCAATTTGGGTCTTCGTCAAGAAAAGTAGGTGCGGCTTCTCAGTCTCAATATGGTGATGAACTGCGCTGAGATTAGAGTGCATCCTCGAATATTAGTGAGGTGCACTTTTAAGGAGAGGACGTTTTTCCTTTTTTAGACACATATATGAATGAATATGGATGGAGAATGGAACGAGGCGTTGCATTAGCTACCAAACGATATTACCAGAGCTAATGCGCCCATGGGAACTTGATCTGGAGACTGCGGGGAAAACCTTACTTAAAAATCTTTTTTTGATACTGGTAACAGCATCCATCGCCGTATAGTGGCGACGTAAGAAAATCCACTACCCCATATCATTTCGTTGCGTAAAAAGCGAGAGAGAATCTAAAACAGACGGGCAGCAGCGTCTTTTTGATATCACCTCAAAATAATAAATACTGCGGTAACTAAATCGCCTGCCAAGCGTTGCAACTCTTATAAATATCCACGTATCAAGCAGATTGCTTCATCCGGTGGCCCATGTACAGCAGTGGACTAGTAATGGGCTGTAATGAATGAACGAAAGAAGGCACAAAATGCTTACTATTTGTTAAATTTATCGGGTGTTATGCACAAAAAAAGCTTTTTTTTATGGGCTAGGGTGACAAACGAGCACACAGTCCACCTGATGGTAAGTGGTTGCCGTGGCCCATAGACATCTACATCTATCCTCGACCACGAATCAAAATGCAAATGCGTTGTCACCCGTGAGGGTAAGATCGAATGCCTCGTTTCCAGTCAAAATGGTCTCCGGTTTTCTACACTCACCATTCAAAATACAGCAGCATTACGCTACTGTTTTACGCTGGTATTCTGTGAGAGCGTGGTCCTACCCCGGTCGAACCGATCCATTCGTGCTACAACTATACTATTTACTAATATACTGTAGCATGGCTCTACCACGTAAGGAGCTCTATTTAGGCAATCTACGAGGAATACTTATTATGGTCGTTCAGCAGTGATAATAATAATAGCAGCATACAAATTCCGTCAGGAGTGCTGTACGCTCTTTTGTCACAGTTGTTTACGAAATAATTATTTTTAATTATTTATTTTTAGTCCAATGAATAGCAAAAACTGCTAATTGTTGTAAATGAAACAGAGATTAGTTTATGTAACATTTTCATCTTTATTTAAAACATCAACAGGATCAAATAATAATTACCTATTATGAAAACAAATTGAACGTGACTTTTATAAATTCTCTTATTAATTAATTTTTACGGATATATTTAATTGTATGTCTAGAATTATGATCAAAAAGCCCAATTATTTAATTTTGCTGATCCGTAAACTTATTTTACAGCTCTAAAAACATTTGTTATCGAAATATTTTTAAAGTTGTAAAATATTAATAAGCAAAAATATTAACATATTGGACCTAATCTTATACATATATTACTAGTTGTATGGAAACATTGTATGATATGATGAGTTTCATGATTTAATAGATTAGAAAATAAAATTCTCAGTACTTATTAGTGCAAATGTGTATTTAGTAATATGCTGATGTGTATATTCCATAGTTATCACATGTTTGTTATAATTTAATGTAAATGCAAAATCTACAATACTATTCACATCAGGCCTGTACACTTGTGGACTTTTTTACTTTGGTTGAAAACATTTTGTGATTGGAATTAATTCTGAATTTCTCAATATACTTATTTAAAGTAATTTAATTCACCATAGCCAAATTTACTCTGCTTATAATAATGCCTACCTACTATACTTGTTGGCTCACAAATCAGTTGGCCCTTATTGTCAAAATAAAATATTTACAGGAATGACTAACAATGTCATCATATTATGTAACTGCAATTTTGAATAGTTTACTACCACTTGATATTGTTTTCATTCAATATTTTTAAATTTTTTATCATACTAATTAGATATTACTTTTATAATTTACATATGTGACAAACGTCTATTTTATTGCAAGAAATACCATAATAATTGCAAAATATATATTACATAGTAATATCTGTTAAAATATATAAAAAAATTAATGAAAGTATAGAGCAGACGAGATTAAGTATGAATTAGTTAAATGTTTTGAATTCTTTTAAAGTAAAATATATTGCCATCAAAAATGTCATTTCAGGGAATAAGAAAATTGTAAGCGAAACACCACAAGACGTACTGAAAAATTAGGATTTCATCATCAATCTTAGGGTTCTATATTACACACTTTCTTTAAAAAACAACTCGCAAGTTAATACATTTTATGAGCCAGATAATACTGTTGAGCGTGTACAATGAGAACTAATAGGTCACCAAAAGAAATATAGGCTCATCGTAATTTTTTGCTGAGCTTTGTATACATTCTATAGGCCATAAATAGTAATCTAAATATTCAAATAGACAAAACAGAAATATTCCCACAGAAGGGTGCTCTTCAAACTAGGTGAGACATAATATAATTTTATATTGTTACACGGATCTTGGCAAATTAATTCTTAACAACTAATATAATGGATTACCGCAAACTAACGCCGGATTTTATTAATCAACAGAAATATTTATCGACTTAATAATGCTCAAGGAGTGCTTTTTTGCTATATCTGATACAGAATAATTTTACTATAACTATGTCAATTTATTCAATTTGAAATGGAAAAATTTCGAAATGTCATTTCTTGCAATAAAGTGTACACCATCATTTCTGCCGGTGGGACAAAATGATAAGCTAAATATTTACAATAAAATATTTACATTTGTCATTATATTTTTAAACAATAAATAATTTAAAATCATATCAACATCTACACTGAACACCTGCTCGTCAAACTCCCGGCCAACTGGAGTTTATGAGTTGACTCACTGCGTTTTAATATATTATACATATGTTAAAATCACAGAATTAGCGGTTTATTGCTGAGCGTGGTTTCAGCACGCTTCAGGGCCGCCCGATGAAGTGACTAGCATCGAGTCCACACTCAGACTCTCCTCACGAAAAATATAAACGAACTGCGTTAGTAAACGTCCTTCGGCACATCGGGCACTTGTCCGTCGATAGTGCACATTTTGCACATGCCACCACGTGACCACACGGTACGAAACAGACGTTGCGTTCCTCCGCATAACATATTTTGCAAAGTTTGGAATCCTCGACAGCGACATCTTCCTTCTCGCTATTAGATTTAGAAGCAGTGGACGTTGACGTTGTTTCCTTTTCTTCTTTTGGCGCCGGGATCACACAAGCTTCCGATATGACTTTTTGAACGTAGTCACGGCCCTTTACGAGTTGAACATAAGCGCAACGATCAAACCAGCGCGCATGTTGCTCCCATGGAACGTCGTCATTCTCCCAGTCTTTGAGGCCTCCGTCGCAATAAAAGCATTTGGTTTTATCACCCTGACCAGTGTAGAAAAAGCCGGCTTCTGCCAACTCCTCTGGTTTTTGTCGCATACATCGAGGCCAGTCTTTAAAGGTGCGTAAACGAGCTGCTTCGGACGCGTAGCGAGGATGAACGGGACCCGGCATTCGTACAGGAGTAGCATTAGGAGGGGCTCGAGTTCCGCATTCATCTCGGCCAGCGGCAGCAGGAGATTCCAATGGAACATTTCCAGATGCCGCCTGATGTCTTAAAAAGGGGCATTGAGGCGCCCATCGCTGATGATCTTTTGCTGGGTCATCGCCTGGGGCCCATTTCATAATTTCGACTTTGCAGAATGCACAACGAACCTCGTCACCACGACCAAAGTAATAAAAACCATTTTGCGCGAGTTGTTCAGGCGGCAAGAACGGGACAGGCCACTTGTCAAACGTCTTAAGTCGCTCTTCTTCGCGCCGCATATCAGGTGCTTCTGGGTAGAAGCCGAAAGTGTCGTGGTTATCGGTTTTGTCAGAGGAAATTGTTGGTGATACAGTGGACGGTGACGACGATGTCGATCCATTATTCACCTCACAGCCAGAACTTGGGAGTACTAAAGGGTCTACAAGAGGCCGCAGTTTGGCTTCTCTGGGTGCACTTCTAAATAGTTGTGTTACCATTTGGGTGGTGAGAGGTGACGCAGAATTGCTGGCTGCCACTGAAAAGACGAAAAGATGAATGTTAATTCAGGCAACCGTTTTACTAAGGTAGTTACAATCTAAGTTCATTTTCATTTATTTTATTTTTTGAAGGAAATAAAGACAAATTCAAAATTGCTTTTATTTCGTTCTTATCAACAATGGTTATATACCTACAAATTACTTAACGATAACGTGAAGCAGCTCTTAGATTTAATTTAATGTAACCTTTGTTAGTGTTGTTTACGAGGGGCGTTCCAAAAAGTGAGAATGCGGTGTAAACACTAGAAATTTTAAAAACTAATTGCAGACAGTTTCAGCTGGGCAATCTGTAAGATACTCTATCTGGCTTCGTTTAAAAAAAAAAGAATTCATTTGTTTGCTATTAGCGTGTTGACGAAAATGAAAAAAAAAAACAACTACGCGTTGTTATTAAGTATCTATGCTCAAAAATTTGGCTACGAAACAAGTCAATCAAGATTTACGGGATACATTAAGGCTCAGCTGTATTCTACAGTTGGACGTTCGTCTACCGAGTTTAGCGTGAAGGGACATCCATCAAAGATAATACTTGTTTGAGACGCCTAGGGTCAGCAGTGAAAAAATGGTTAAAAAGTGCAATTTTTTTAGCAGACTGTCGTGTTACGGGTTACTGAAGAAAAAAAATATAAGACAAATCCTTTTGCCAGTAACATCGCTCTCTTTTTTATGTTAGTCAAGAGATGAGAGTAACGACTGAATTATATCCACCTCTACTGTCATGGGCACATTGTATGCGACAAATAAAAAATTGCGCTGCGAAATCCTTAAGATACGAAGGCGAACTCGGGAATTTTTTTACCAAGACAACAGGTTACAATTAGAGATGTTAGCCTTATACTTGAGCATATTCACCAGACCTTGCACCTAGTGATTTTATCTATTTACGAATGATCGGAATATGTGAGAGGATAATGAAGCAGGAGTCGCTGCAGTACATGGATTTTTAGATGCTCAGGACAAAGTTCTTACAAAAAAGAGATTTCAAGTATATTTACACTAAAGGGTTTAGTACTTGTAGGCATAATCATTCTCACTCTTTTTATTGTAGTACCCTCGTATGTAATAATATTTATTTACGTAAGCTGTGTTTCTATAAATTCTCAGTAAGTCACCAACAAGAAATATGGTTGCTTGTATTACGATGCTCGATTCGCTAACATTATTTATTATAACATATCTTTATATGAAAAATATAAATTGTATTTGATAGTCACGACAAAGACTTGTCCTTTAAACCGAATTACAGTCAATGCGGCCAGTCTTGACTCCCAACGGAGACTAGGACTAGGTAGTCTGCGGACTACCCGAGAACGCAGGAAATACGGGGCACGAATGTGATCACAAACACACGTGCACTTTCTTCACTCTCATAATCCGATGGAACGGCAACCAGACATCACCGGAGAGAGATCAGGCGCGGAACCAACGTCTTTACAAGCTTTTCGAACCACGAGGGTTACACGCAGCCAATTTCCTGATTCCGATCTAACAACTGATTTTGGCTCAGTCCAAGAAATGAACCCGGAACCACATGATTAGCAGAGTCATTTTTACCATCAGTCAGAGCAGACATGCCAGGAAATTTATGAGACTTGATTTCGTCAAGTCTCATAACTCAAAAAGTCAAGTAACAGTCAAACCATGTCCTACTATTGAGTTTATTGGCTTCTAATATTTACTTGTATAAAGTGTGGTAACTGATGAATTCTTTAGCTTATAGCAAGTTGTTTGAATCGGAAAAGCATGGAAGAAGAAGTGTCATCACAAAACTAATAACCAGAGGTAATAACTAACTAATATTCCTTATCGTCTGCCCGTAAAAGTCCAGGACCGGATGTCCAGTTAATTTGATGAATGGGTTATAAACTTATAAATCATGAGAACTTTTCTAGAGGATTTTGTCGCAATGTGGGCCCTCTGAGAGTTCTAGTTACAATAGCCTCCTTTTAATAATTTTTTTGTGAATTCTACTATAACTAAGACGGTTTAATCTAACTTAAACTGTTTTAGTTGTAGTAGGTAATGCAGTATGTCTGTAATATAGAATGATATTTTGTGTTTTAATTTCCTAAATATGCTAAGTTCCCAAATTATCCCTGTACACTCAATTAATCTTTGACAATTATGTAATAACAATTTCATTTTTAATAATATGTTAACTATCTTGTGTTGTTTTTACTAAAGCAGCCAACGTTAATCCATTGCTTGTGGATATAACTTGGTTGCTATAAGATTACCGGTTAGATGTAGTCTAGGGAGACGGATGGGGATGAGCAAGTGTGCCTTTAAACAGTTTCACATAACAACGAGTTCGCGACCATGGCCGGTCCGGCTGCGTCATCGACATTCCATTCCCGCAGCCTCCCGTCCCTTGCCTCTCGTCCCTCTCTGCGTGCATTTAGTGCGCATGCACCCAACAGTCGCAATCAATTTTTTTTCTACACTAACTTGTGACACCCTAGTAACGTAAGCACAAGAATATTTTGACTATAGAGACAAACATGATCAATAAAGAACGGCCTACGCCCAAAATTTTGATAATGCCGAAAGTTAGAACAACTGTCTTAAAATTATACACATAATTTTTTTTCCTTTCCACAGGGAATTTCTCAAATATCTTGAATGTTTCTATTCATAAATTGAACATGCACCACTAGTTCCACCCATATTGTATGGTCTCCAACAAAATGATTCGGACAAAACATACATAGAATCATTTCATTTACAACTACAGTGGTACTTATTGCTAAATTTTCATGATACTAGAGTAATAATATAAATGAATTTAAGTAACAGTCTTTAATGTTTTCATGCGATCAAAATACAAACAATCATGGCTGCGACAGCGACGATCGATATTTACCATTTCTATGGTTGCGATTTACGAGCATTGGCATGTTGAGGCCGGTAGACACAGACAAATTTCACGTAACACTAAGACACATTGCCACGCAACTATTCACAACATCAACAGAAATATTTTTGATGAAATTTTTAGAATACGAGCACAACGTTCGTTTGGATTCGAGCATAGCTAGCTACTATGCCTCGAATAGCAGTTTTCGTATTGCAATGACAACCCCCACAGCGCATGCGTTAATTTAAGAGGGTTCGAAATCGCTATCGTGGGGTGTACTACAGCTGTGAGGGGTTTCGAGATGGGGACGTCTAGTTTATTTCATAAACAATTATATATTTTTTGTAATTTTGAGAGTGGACGTAATCAGATATTACAATAGCATCCGCCTTGGTTCTTTAAGCATATGCAGCAAGACCAATCTTAACTCTATTTTAGGACTGTACTGAGATAGCCATGCGACATCACGTGCGGTTGACAGATGTTAAATAAAATATGATCGGCGCGGTATGCGATGCGTTTATAGCCACAAACTTATTCATATACAGAACATGAGAAACAAGTGAGGAGCGCAAAGGAACGATGCGGGAGAGATGTAGTTCTCAATCAGGCAAGCGTCTGGGGCGACGTTGCCGCACCGCTCGCCACCGACCGGATTTCATTCATATTTGAGACGCGACGTTGCCGCTTTCAGCGGAAACCGCGACCACACAGCGTAAAAAAGGGCCTTTGGAATGTGGCGGTACCGCTGGGCGGGTCTAAGCAGTACCGAATAAAAAAAGTGACGGAATGGAATGCGGACGGTACTTAGTAGCATGCGTGGTCGAACAATGTTAGCTGTCAAAACTACGTATATACACTTTTATGAAATGCGTTGATATTTTTTTATATAACCGATATTTAAATTATCGTATCGTGTACTTTCTTGAGATAGGCGTAGTAATTATTAGTTCCATTATTTCAGCCAAAAAAGAAGCAGCGTACAATAAGACTAAAACGCAAACGATTGCATCCAAGGTCCACGTTCGCCGCAAAGAGCAAATGAAATTCAGCATTGTGGCGCAAGAGAGCGGCGAGAGGCGGCGCCGAGCGTGGGGAAGGGGACGGGGCCGTGTTCTCATGCCTATGGGTGGTCGCCGCTCGGCTTTCGAATTCCTATGTCTCGCCTGCATCGCCTACGCAACGCTACACGTTGTACGCTACTTCTATATAGCTTCAGACATTATCATCCAGTCCAAGTAAGGTGGAAGGTGGTCTGTTACAGGGTAGGCCTTTTCGTAGTTTTAAAATCGTATTGAACCGATTCTCGGAAAATGTAAAAAAAAAAATATTTTAAGTATTTTGCCATTGTTATGTTAACGTACAAATGTTCTTTCTTTGCATGAGTACCAAAAATTATATTATACTGGGGTAACGTATTTCATATCTCTTATTATAAGAATTTCTCAATGAGCAAGCATGAATGACTTTTATGCCCGTACGTTGTCTATACAAACATCAGCTTCCTTCTTCATAAATGCTTTGAAAAAACAAACTGCGTTAGCCGAGTCGCCCGGAAACGATATCGGAGGAAACGTACATCCGCCAGATGGGGTACATGTTATAGGCACCAAAAGGCGGACCACTGTATATGATTAATAAGTATAATATGTGTACCATACGTCCTTATTTGTTAAACAGCTAATTTATTAGTGACGCTTAGTCCTGAATTTTATTAAAATATTTTATAAGTAGCCATAACAGCATTGGTCTTTTAAGCAGCCATCTAAAAAAATAGTTTCCCGTTTACGTAACGACATTATATTTACTATAGCTGTAAGTGATAAGTTAGATAGGATTAATAAAGGGATAAAAACTAATGTCTTGATTGGTATAATCTCACAAATGGGAAGAGACCGCTAATGTAACATGCCGCTAGCGCCGACAGTACTCCCACGATAGCCGCGGGATAACCGCATTCCACAGCGTGCAAGTTTTCTCATACCTTGCTTTTGCTATGTCTATATAAAATAAGTGATGGATGTCTGTTTGTAGAAATGTTTTCACATATTGAAGATATATTTTATAGAGGTACATTTTATCTTGCTCTTTGTATAGTTTAATTTCCCTATTTAATATTCAAAAAAATAAATAATACAAAAATTCAAGATTTTTTTTGTATATATATATATATATATATATATATATATATATATAAACAATCTGACATTAAGTTTTCCGTTGGCAATTATCTGCCTTAATGAATATTACTTTATTAAAACATACTAAACTTATTTATACTAATACTTTAAAATGTTATATTATAATAATTACATGACTTAGAATCTATGCAGTCCCTTATAAAATGGCTTAGTAGTAGTATAGTGCATATAGAGAGTTGGTAAATGTAATATAAAATAGGGAATGCCATTATAATTTTTTAAATGTATTCACTAAAACTCTTCCACAGATATTTTATTTGCATTTATAAAATAAGGTTTATAACAATTAATATATTGAGAATTATTTGAAGCATTTCAAAATTAAATGTACTAAGTTTATAGAGCTTCTATAATTATAATGAAACTCTTACTCTTACTCCTAATGCAATCTCAATCTTATAATTATTGATACATTTTCAAAACCCTATTGCTGTAACACATGAATAGTGACGAACAGATGGAATTAAATAGGATTCCTTATTTCATCACAGAACCCAAGAGAAGAGTAAAAACAATAACAATTAGTATATCAAAAAGAACCTGCTACAACAATATATCATAATTGCCAACAAAATAACACAAGTTTTGGAATGTGTTACAAGCAAGCGCCATATTTTTTACGCTACTATTCTGGCGAATGGCAAATCAACCTATGAATATTCTAGACCAGTGGTTCCCAATCAATTTCTCCCGCATAGCACTTTGAGATACAGCCCAAGCTTGCATACCCTTTAAAACTGAAATGATGAATAAAATATAAAATCTTATCTTCATCATCAGAAGCTAATAACTTCTCAACAATTATAATTATAACAAAAACCACATTGGTTACATAAGTTTAATAATATAATTGTGCATGTAGCACTTGTACAATTTGTTGATTGTAATTTTTGTCTAGATCAAAAGTTAAGTTTTAAGTTTAGTTTAAAGGCTTATCTTTATAAAGATAAGCCTTAAAACTAAACTTACATCAATAGCATACCCCTTGCGCCCTCCTTTCTGCCAAGGAGGGTCGTGTCTGTGTACGGCTTAAAGATCTCTCGTCAGATCGGTAAGCCAATCCATAAAGTTGTGGTTTAGTGGGTAAAAGTCTCCACATAACCACGCAGCCGGCTGCGTGGTATGCTATGAGCATTCCCCACCTCCCTCCCCCGCTTTCCGGAGGGTTGCCCATATTTGCTTCGGGCGCAAAAAAAAATAGCATACCCCTTTAAGCAACTCCTTGCGGCATGTGTATCTCTGATTGGGTAACACCGATAAACTAAATATAATCCAATAATAACCCAGAGCATTTTGTGTCTTCTAGGTTCCAGGTTTTCAGAGCTGTCCTGAAAGGCTCAGTATCTAATACATAATATCAAGCAGCAAAGCCAGAAATATTATATGTACACATAAAACAAATTGAAACATTCAACTATCAACTATGGGTTTAATATAGACATACAACAGATGGCGCTAGTGGTCACAAAAGAGCCATATCACCCAATGAGGAAAAGTTTCTGAGGATTAATAAAGAAGATAAATAACAGACCAACCAAGCTTAATTAACAACATCACTAGCTAAATATAAGTAAATATTGATCAAATTTTGTATTTCTCAACGTAATACAAATCGGTAATAAGTTAATAACCATTGTTTGGAATAGTTTTTGTGTTCAACTAATATCATACATGCTACTCTATATTTGTGAGGTCAAGGCATCAAGAGGCGCTATTGGGTAGAACATTTGTGCAAGGCCAGTATTTGGCATTACAGTTTAGACTTTTGAACCATTTTCTTTATTAACAAATGCTATAATAGCAATAATTGTTGATGTAACAATATATTAAGCATATTACATTTTAAGTTTAGAGGGATAATATTAACAGGTTAAATTCTTCAAGAAGCCTATGAAATTATCATATTTCAATACATCTCACATGACAATATCAAATTCATGGAAGTTTGTAAAAGCTCATTAATTAATTATTCCTAATGTAGTAACTATTATTTTCTATTTAAGATGTATTTATGGAACATTTTGTGCTCAGATTTTGGCCATTAATAAGTGAATACTGTTGAAATTGAAATAATTTAATTAATAATACTTGATGTATTAAGAATTATGTAGTTCTACATCCCTAAGGTAATTTGTATTTTGAAATCCTAATACAATAAACACACAATAATAATATTGGTAAGGTGCAGTTTGACATTGTTTTATTATAATTATGATCTTTGTTTCTTGATATAACTGACACAGTAAATGGTTAACAAATTCTTCACTATTAAATATCTGTACTGTAACTTATAGGATAATTTTCACCCTACTACCTACACATATATCTAGATCTTTTCATAGAAGATAAATAACAATAAGATTCTAAACGTTTCTTTTGTTATTATGGTAAAAGGTTCCGTCTATTTGTATAATACTTATTCCTTCATTTGTAATGCTAGATTGAAACATATTTTAAATTCCCTTTTTTTCTTCTGATTTTCCTCAATGAACTCGTCAAATAATATTACTTGTTCGGGATTTAAATAAGTTATTGGTGCATGAAGCGGAAAACAAACTAAAAACTTGAACCAAGATTAAGATTGTCTACGTCAATAATTTTCAACTTGATAAAAATGACGTCGCCCTCGTTCCAATTTATAAACATATGTTACAAGAGAGGTTATGTAAGGGAAAACGGTTACCTCTAATCGAATCCATTTGCAATCCGGGTTTTATCCACAAATTCGGAATTATAACCACATAAATTGCTTAAATTTAACAGTTATTGTCCACACTTTCACCGGTATTATTTAAACCGATAATCGAACAAACAACTCTTCTTCCATGAGCGCGAAACTCGCAACTGTCGAAGAGAACGAGACGGTGGCGCTCCGAAATCACCGATAAGACATGCGTCATTCGCTGACGTTCTGAAACTGCTGCCGCGGCCGCGTTTGCGTTCGCGCCTTCTATTCGCTCGTCTGGCGGTCGGTCGGAGTGAGCGCGCGTAGGGTTGGCTGATAGCCGATAGTGTGATAGAGTGAGCTTGAAAATGAAGATACAAATACAACACAATACAAATGAAGGCGAATAGTTGTTTGGAAATGCTTATTTGTTTTAATTAGTTTATTGACATATTATTTTTGTTATTTTGTAAACAATTAGCTATGCAAATATAAATACAGTTTGGCAATAGTATAATACATTGATTTATTTATATTGTATTTCATGTTATTTAGCGCGTCACGTTTCAAAGACGCAAGATTGTTAATTTTTATACTAAAAGAATGCTCCTAACTAGGTGGCGCTCCGATATACCTAAATTCACATTAGTTCGTAGCTCCAACGGCTACTTATACAATAAAAAATCATGTTTTTGAGTGATATCAATAAAAACGTCTTTGAATTTATATTAAAATATAAAAATTTTAATTTTACCAACATAATGTATTTATTTATGTTGCACGAGATTGCATGTTTCTAAAAAATGTTATCGTTTACCTACATAGGTACTTACACTTTAATCTTTTTGGAAACAGAAAAAGAAACTTATTTATTCAATATGGATTATAAATAAAACTTATTGAAAGTCACTTTTTTTCATTACCACTGGTTCGAAAGAAAAAACTTTTTTCCTGGGAAGAACCAGCAAGAAACCACCAGCAGGACTATTTTTTATAAAATAAGACCTTACAATCATGTATGTTACAATTAACAACACAAAATAAATTAGAAATAGTTTGGTAGCGGTCACCCTTTTACGTTTTATATTACCTATACATATTTACATGAATGCAAAATAAAAATCTCATCACTATAATAAAGATGGAAAAATAATTATGTATTCAAAGAAATTATAAATAGGGGGAATTACCTAATTGAAGACACTGCCTAGCTCAGTAATGCATGCTTTTATTTTATTTAGAATAAGTAAATAAAGTAGTACCTACCTTTAGATGGTCCAGCAATAGCATGTTCAGTTGTTGATTCTTCTTCTGGTGTTGATAATCCATCCATATTTAGTTAAAAGGTCCTTAGTGCAGCGCTTTCAATATTTATAATGCATATATTATGCATTTTATTTATTTTAATTCTGCTGAAATCACGAAAAAAATCACTATTGAATTTCATAGTTAATTTTTCATAAATTTCCACAATTTTTATGCATTTTGGTTGAAAAGTGACATTGATATGACGTTTAAATTTAGTTGTTTACAATCTACACACCAGCACCGTGAAGTCGCAATAAATTTATCAGGTTAAATTAAATTACCTGAATAGTCGAGTGCCGTGGATCGTGGACTAACATACGAACACTGCCGATGCAACACGAATGCTTCGTTTTTACTACGATGCGATGTTGTGTGATAAATCATTACGTAAAATTAACGTTAAATGTAACAAACTGTCATTAGGGGGATTATACACGATGGTGACATATACTTCATATTTTATATAGATATCTGATACTAGAATTTATTACTACTCTTACTCTTTACTATTTCCTCATCTCAAACAAACCGACACTGGACACGGACCTCACGTATCTTTGGCAAACTTTTCTAAGACACAACTCTACTGCTTAATTTTTATAGGAGTAAGAGTGACTCAGTTCACCTGATGATTAGTGGATACTGTAGCACTCAATAAAGATTAGGTATAGGCAAACAATACTTATTGTAAGTAATTTTTAAGTTAAGTAACTGGTACAACTTGTGTCTGCTCCTAGTATTTACAAAAAGTTTTTTTTTTTAAATAGTTATGTACTTATATTTTTGTGTTTTCGTAATTTTCGTTCTTTCTTTTAATATAATACCGGAACATTCATCTTGCACTCTTAACGCTGCCCGTTATCGCCGGCCTTGCTTATGGGTATCTGACATAATAGGGAATTATTTATTCCGCCATCTGTCTGAGGTGACATCTACATGCATTTTTTACCGAAGATCCGTTTTATTAGTAACGAAGCATTCCATATTAATCCTTAGAGTAATCGAGAATTATTGTAGGTGACTATAGACTATACTTAAAGTTAAAAGTTAAAGCCTATATTCGTCCCACTCCTGGGCACAGGCCTCCGCTCATTTCTGAGAGGGTTTTAGGGCATGGAATTGACCGCCGCGCTGCACTGCCGCAATGCGTGTTGGGGAACTTCACATGTCTTCGAAATATTTTTTTCTTATTTCTCAGACGTGCCAGTTTCCTCACGATGTTTTCTTTCACCGCCGAGCACGTGGTAAATCAGCACTTAAAATTACAATTAACAATTTCAGTGGTGCCGGTGGGGATCGAACCCGGTTTGCTGGCGTACTGTGAAACTTACAGCGAGCGCTAACCATCTGAGCTACCACGGCTAGACTATACTTAGATACCTACAATTATTCTCGACTATAGAATATAGTGTATACTATACACTAGACTAGATGTATAGTGTCTATAGTGTGTGCGCTCGTTTGTCACTCTTACTACGTAGTACTATTATTTATTCTGTGCAATTACTTCCACAAAAATCCCGTAAAGCTGACCAGGAGGCAACTTCTGATTGCTGCTGGAAAGTTATAAACTGCGCAGAAAGAGGTTTTGTGTGGTAGAGCCACGCTGTAGCTATATTATGGTTGTAGCACGAACAGGTCGGCTCGACAGCACCGCGCTCTCTCAGAGTAACAGCGTAAAATAGCAGCTTCATGCTGTTGTGTTTCGTATGGTGGGTGGAGGGAACCGGAGATCCTTTTTTACCGCAAACGAGGCATTTCATCTTGGTCCTCAGGGATGACAACGCATCGGCATTTTGATTCTTAATCGAGCATAATTGTAAATGTTTATGGGCCACAGAATCCAATTACCATCCGGTGGAAAAAAAGCAAGTATTATTATTTCGGTACACGTTATGACGTCTAATACGTGATACAAAGCACTACTAATGAGTATTTTTCTTACCTTTCCTTTGTTGGCTTGTGTCTCGCTCGCAGTTCGGATATCATCGAGATAATCGAGAACAGCTGTTAATCTAATGTGTATGGGTTTGACGAATACAAAAAACGTTTTATACAAAGTTTGGCGAGAAGGCAGGTGTACACGCAGCTTGCTCGTGCGCGGGTGTTATTACGCAGCTGCCCTTCCACGTGCTCCACAGCTGTCGACATCATCCCTCAAGGCTCGCGCGGTAAAAATCATTTTGAGTTCCACAAAATATTCGGAAATTTTTGTTAATAACAGATTTTGACACATCAGCGAATTTTATAAGTATGTTGGGATTTTTTTTAATTATGAATGATAAGTAGTTAAAAGTAAAGTTACTAGCCTAATACTTCCCACTGCTGGGCTCAGGCCTCCCCTCATTTCTGAGAGGGTTTAGGGCAAGGAAGTGTCCGCCGCGCTGCCCAAATGCGTGTTGACGAACTTCACATGTCTTCGAAATATTTTTTTTCCTTATTCTTCAGACATGCAGGTTTCCTCACGATGTTTTCCTTCACCGCCGAGCACGTGGTAAATCAGCACTTAAAATTGCAATTAACAATTTCATTGGTGCCGGCGGGGATCGAACCCGGGTTACTCGCGTTCTGTTATATTTACAGCGAGCGTTAACCAATATGATAAGTAAGAATAGTAAGAATGATAAGTATCTATAATAAACTTAGTAGTTCCTAATAATTCCGACAATTTTGATGAAGAATTTTGTCAGTTTAGCCTGCAAACTTAACCCTTTCGCTGTCCCGTGCACTACATATAGGTCATTACTAGTGTCTGAAAACCAAACAGTGAATGTGTTAAGGAGTAAAGCCTGGTTTTCATGGGCTCTGTATGGAGTCTGTGGAGCAGTTACTGTTCGACAAATAAACGCCCGATTAGAACAACAAGAAATCAGTTCTAACGGGTCAGTTACTATCATTCATCTAATTGAAACTTTTTTTTATTTTCTGAACCTTCACTCCCTTCACGTGAACTCAAGCTTGTAGTAGCCAATCTGTGCCGTCGTTAAATTGACGGCTAGACAACTTCTTTGGAGGTTTTAAACAACAACTATAGTCCATATTTTATTATTTTTCTCTTGACAACCTTAACTTTCACGCTCTAACACTAATAGGACAGTACCAGTCTGCTTTATCGACGGTAAAAGTTTACATTGAGAATACATCGGCCATTTAGTCGTACTTTATGGATAGTAGTATATATGTCGCAGAGTAAGAATAAGGATTCTTACCGGTCAGCCGCCGTAGAGTCAACATCACCTGAAGATGCCTCGTGTAGAGGCGAAACACGTGTCGTATTATCGTCGATGGTGCGTCTTTCCTAGAATAGTGGTGTTGGGAGTAATGGCGCTGGGATTAGTGGCGACGGGATTAATGCACGCAATTGAGGGAGGGCGGGAGGTGCTCTTCAAACTAGGGAAGACACATCATTTTATTTAATTTAGCGGATGGTTGCAAAGTAATTTATATTTTTATTTTTATGTTAATTTTTATATTAATATCTTTATTATTACGGATTTCCGCAAAGTAACGCCTGATTCTATCAATTATTGCAGAGTTATGACAACACCTGCGACATATTATACAGCCATTGTGGAAAAAAATTGTAAGTGTAATTGTGTACACACGTACGAAGTGATACTTCTTCACGACATATCATTCTTTTTTATTTTATGTTTTACATAAGTAGGTTAAAACCCGGGAAAGAGTTAATAAAATCGGATTTTCGATATATCGACGAATAAACTTATATACAAAACTCGGATATTTATATATTTATAATTATCGATATAACGTTACTGTCATATTTTAAAAAATCCTATATAGTTTGAACTGATCAGTTGGAATGATCAGTTGAACTGACCCCGTGTGGCGACCATAAAACATGGAACGAGTAGTGATTACGACTTTTTGACGACTTTCCGACCGAGTACTCCGTCCTACGCGGGCCCCGTCTTTGCCCACGCAAACCCTAATATTATAAATGAACTCCAAATAGTTCAGAACCTCTTCTGTCGTCGAGCTGCGAACGCACCGTGGTACGTCCGTAATGCCGACCTTCATCGGGACTTAGAGCTCCCAACAATTCAACAATTTCTTAAAAAACTCTCTGAGAACTTCTTCAAGGCCTCAAAGTCGCACCCAAACCAATTAATTCGTGAGGCAGCTACTTATGCAGCCCCACCCCCCTCTCGCTATCTAGTCCGCAGGCCGAGAAACTCTCTCTCGGACCCGCCTAATAAACTGACAAACGACCTGAACTGCCTCCTGGCAGCTCAGGCCAACTCTAATTAAATTAAATTATTGTATTAACAAATATTAATTTGCCTTCGTAGGCACTCCCTCAGCGGTTTTTAGCCGCCTGCGCCCTCTTTTCCCAAAAGAGGGTCGCTCACGATAAGGCACAATACAGCTTAATCAGCCGGTTGCCTGTCCCCAAAGGCGGTTTTTAGAGGGTATCACTTAGGGTCCCCGGTAGGACAGTGAGTCCCTCATAACCACGATAGACCGGCTATCGTGGTATGCGTAATGCATTTTCCGCCTCCCTATGTATAGGGTAGCCCTTTAATTGCTTCGGGCGCAAAAAAAAACCGAGTACTTGGTCGATAACTCGGCTTTAAAAAAAGTTGCGGCTCAATACTTATCCATCACCCGCCAGTTCTGTTTATAGTGGACGGCTTTTTAGAGGCGGGCTTAGCATACAAATTAAAAAGGAGAAAACTAGGAAAAAAGGGCCGAAAAACTAGTGCTTTTGCAAAAATTTCTATTAAAGATTCTTATGTACGTTTTCATAGTTTCTGCTGTTCCTCACGTTCCTGAAGTTTTAATGTGTATAATATAATAATAATAATAATTAAAACTGTCTTTTTTTCTCTGAAATATAATTAAGGCCGAGTACTCGGTACTCGGCCGTTAATACTTGCTGCTCGGCCGAACCCTCGAAAAAGGCCGTATCCGCCGAGTACCGAATCAAAACCGAGTAGGTACTCGTCCCATGTCTAGGTAAACTCATATATCCCCGATGAAACGTTACAAGAAAACGTGGTG